CTCGGCCTCCCAAAGTGCTGGGATTACAGGTGTGAGCCACCACGCCTGGCCTAAACTCTTACTATTAATTCTAAGTTTTTCAGATGATTATTTAGGCTCTTCTAGGAATACACCCACATCATTTACAAATAATGAACATCATGCCCCTGCCCTACTTTGATAATAACTTTTATTTCTATAAAGTTTCAGCTTTTAGGAACTTAGAATCTTTAATGTATTTATTTATTCATTTATTTTTGAGACGGAGTCTCACTCTACTGCCAGGCTGGAGTGCAGTGGCATGATCTTGGCTCACTGCAACTTCTGCCTCCCAGGTTCAAGCGATACTCCTGCCTCAGTCTCCTGAGTAGCTGGGACTGCAGGTGCACGCCACCACGCCCAGCTAATTTTTTTGTATTTTTAGTAGATACGAGGTTTCACTATGTTGGCCAGGATGGTCTCAATTTTTTGACCTCGTGATCTGCCTGCCTCAGCCTCCCAAAGTGCTGGGATTACAGGCGTGAGCCTCCATGCCCGGCCAGAATCTTTAATGTATTTATTAATACACAAATACTCTACGAGAGAGTATTCTGTTTAGAATAATGACCGTATAATAATTATTCTTACGGGCCTGATACTAAACTGAGAACTTTATATACATTATTCATTCTAATGTTAGTCCTATAAAGCAGGTATCGCTATTCCCATTTTACAGATGAGGCTCAGAGACTTTTTTTTTTTCTAAAGACAGAATCTCCCTCTGTCGCCCAGGCTGGAGTGCAGTGGCGCAATCTCGTCTCACTGCAACCTCTGCCTCCTGGGTTCAAGCAATTCTCCTGCCTCAGCCTCCCGAATAGCTGGGATTACAGGTGCGTGACCAGGCCTAGCTAATTTTTGTATTTTTAGTAGAAACAGAGTTTTACCATGTTGGCCAGGCTGGTCTCGAACTCCTGACCTCAGATGATCCGCCTGCTTTGGCCTCCCAAAGTGCTAGGATTACAGATGTAAGCCACCACGCCTGGCCTCAGAGACTTTTAGTAACATGATACAGTTAGTAAAGGGGACAGCTGGTTTTCAAATAAAGGTCTGTTTGATTCTATTATAGAAATCCTTTCTCCTTTCTTAATATCTCTTTGGTATTCTTGAAAAAAAAAAAAAAAAAAAAGAGCCAACAAATAAAAATAATTCCTCAGAATTTATGCTAATTTTGTAGCAATATAACTTGCGCATTTGACAGCTGCTTGATTTTTAAAATCAAATATTTTCCTATGTTGCTCTTTAAGGGCAAGGTGTGTCCTGTGAATGTTTCTCACTGTTAGACTAGGGCAGAAGCTCAACAACAACAAAAAAGGCTGGTGACTAGGAATCCTCATTTCCTTCTATCCAGGACATGTAATAACAAAGACACTTTTCCTATAATCCTTTGCTAGTCAGGATGTGAACTGCTATACAATCTCCTGTTCCCGACCTTAACTATACACATGCATTAACATACACACCATAAAGATACACAAACATGACAGTCTATTTCAGCTAAGTTATACTCTTACTACACCTTAAAAGCTGTTAAAAAAGAAATAATATAAATGGAAATCTGGTACCAAGATTTCTTTATAGTATCTTATTTGACTAAATCTCCCTAATCTTTGGTGAATACCAGAAGAAAATATTTTAAATAAACAGTATAATTTATCTTTCAGATAAATGGAATTTTATTATCCTGATACACAGGTGGTAACTTATGAGGTATAATCTAATCTAGAGACAGAAGAATAAACCAAATCCATAATTTAAAAAACGGCAATTCACAGCCGGGCGTGGTGGCTCATGCCTGTAATCCCAGCACTTTGGGAAGCCGAGGTGGGTGGATCACCTGACGTCAGGAGTTCAAGACTAGCCTGGCCAACATGGTGAAACCCGTCCCTACTCAAAATACAAAAATTTGCCAGGTGAGCAGGCGGGTGCCTGTAATCCCAGTTACTTGGGAGGCTGAGGCAGGGAGAATTGCTTGATTCTCCATCTCCAAAAAAAAAAAAAAAAAAGGCAATTCACATTTTCCGAAATAAAACCTAAAAAGAAGTAAAATCCAAATGAAATAAGAACTTTTTAATAAAAGTTCTGGTTTTAGTTGCAATATCTGCTATTAAAAAATTATCTAATTAAATTCAAGTTCATTACATTTATTCAGCATGTTGGTAAACAGGAACAATGAGGTGGTTTTTTTATGAAAATCTGAAATATTCTGTTTGTTGCAACCTGAAAGGTTGCTTTAGCATCTAATTTACTTTGGTATTTTGACTGTCTAATATTTAAAAAACTGATTTAGAGACAAAGTTATGAAAATCACAAAGAACTTTTCAATTAAGCTGATAGTTGCAGGAGAAACTGTGGTAAAAAGATTGTCACAAAATACATTAAGATATCACAAGTGCTTTCAATTAGATCCTTTGCAAGTCACTGTGAAAACCAATGGACCAGATGATTTTTCATTGACATCTAGTTTAAAAATCCACAAGGACTTTAGATTTAAAGCTGTCTGAAATTTTTTTTGTTTTTGAGATGGAGTTTTGTTCTGGTCGCCCAGGGTGGAGTGCAGTGGCATGATATCGGCTCACTGTAACCTCCACCTCCTGGGTTCCAGCAATTCTCCACTGCCTCAGCCTCCCGAGTAGCTTTAGGGAGGGATTACAGGCACCTGCCACCACACCCAGCTAATTTTTGTATTTTTGGTAGAGACGGGGTTTCACCATGTTGGCCAGGTTGGTCTCAAACTGCTGACCTCAAGGGAGCCTCCCATCTTGGCCTCCCAAAGTGCTGGGATTACAGGTGCGAGCCACAGCACCCAGCTGTTCTTTTAAAAATTGTATGCTAATTATATAAGCCCCTTTGAAAACAATCAATTGATAATAATTTCTCACTTATTTCATTCATCCCCTGCTCCCTCAACCATGTCCCACCCAACTTAATCACTTAGAATTTTAATTCTTTCCTGAACATTAGTGTTCCACCACTTTCTTGCCCTTTCCCCATCTTATAAATATGAATATAAATTTCCTAAACTTACTACTTTAAATGTATCTAACCTTTTTTATAACCATTTCTGCTGTTATCTGTACACTGTCTAGTCCTTCTTTGTCGTCCTGGGAAAACTGATCCCTGACTTGAGATCTCTCTCTTCCTCTGTAAAGACAGATGTAAAGTAACTATTTAGAAAACACGCCATTTCTTTTTGTTATCAGAAGTACTCATACTGAAATTTTTTATGCAGACCTGAAACAATCATTGGTCATATATTCAGAAAGGTTTTATATACGTACCTGCGTTGTCTTTGCAGATACTGGAAGAGCTACTATTCTCATTACTTTGGTATAGGTGCTGAGTTCTAGTCTCTTGGGGTACAGATGATGTTTGAGTCATTCCTTCTTCTAAGGCTTGTTTTATCCAGCGCTATAATTGGAAAAGAACCAGAGAATTATCAATAATTATTTAAAACCATTTAGTAAACCTGTTTTAAATGTACATCAACTGGTGAGTGATACAATTCAACACACTAATTCAGTTACACAGTCAAGCATTTTATTGTCTTGTGTCTCAGCATATTGGAACATTGTCCTATCAATTCCTTTTAACTGACAGAATTGAGGAAAACTGGATTACATATAATGAGATCCCATCAAAAGACAAAAACCAATAAAAAATGATTACATCTTTTCATACTGTTTGGGATGGTGTAAAACGGCAAGACTTAGGAAGAAACCTTAACATTTATTTAGGAGAGACTCTGATCGTATAGAATAAAACTAACACATAAAATAAGTGCCTAGAAGGAAGATAAAGATCTCTTAAAAGTTGTCTGCCCTGTGCTGGAGACAAGTGAAGAGGTAATAAAAAAGATTCATAGGAAGACTTTGGATGAGAATTAACAGCTCTTCACTACAGGTACCAAAAGGTTTATCTCAAATGAAATAACCTATGGGATCCCCCCTCCAACAAGTAGTTTGGTTAAATTATGCATGAGTAATGCAAATCACAAAATGAACTTCTGTAGACATAAAAAAAAGGGAAAAAGTCAAAAAGAAGACCTATCAGTCACAAGTTTTTGGTTGTAAAGATTAGAATAATAAATTGACGAGAAATAAATTTAGGCGAGATAGTAAGCCTGCAAAGATTAGGATAGTAAGATTATGCATCCTGTGGAAGACAGAAAATTTCTTACCTGTAATTGTGTTCTCTTAAGATATACAGTTGTAGGTTGCTCACCACTCTGTGGCTCTCCTGCCCTGACATAAGACAGATCGAATTTTGATAAACATCAATTTCTGAGTAAGACCCTCCCCCAACAGGAAGAGCAAAGGTGAATTATTATAATTTATACCTTTAGAGAACATGTATTACAGGTAAGTAAATATTCTCTTCACCAAAGAGAGCAATTCTTATAGATTTTCCCTCTTAGAAACCTAGGAAATAATCCACAAAAATTTTACCAAAAAAAAAAACAAAAAACAAAAAAAAAACCAAAAAACTTACACCATACAAATGTCATTGTGGCTGGCCAAATGAAAGCAAAACTAATACTGTAAACATTTGGAAGGAAGAGTGAACAAGTGTATAAAAAAGAGCTCTCAGTGGTAATTTGAATTCATCACATAAACATTTTAGGATACAACCAGGTCTCTGAAAAGCAAACACAAAAACAAAATCAAAAACCCCCAAGAACGAACTCTCTTAGATACAGAATATTGATGTAAAGATGAATTGTCAGAACCACACATATAAGCCTTAAAGCTTAGAAGAGAACTTAGAAGTCATCTTGTCCAAAGCACTCATTTTATAAATGGAAAAATTAGGCTCAGGAGTGAAAAATCTTTTGTTATAGCCACCTTTAAGTTTTTCTTTTCAAAGCAGAAAACAGACTCATTTGGGGTCACTGAGCTTTCCTATATGACTAATTTTTTAATATTTCAGGGTCTAGTAGATGTACTCATAAAAGAATTTACATTCTGGATCTGATGACTACAAAAAGGGAACATAAAACCAGGAGTATTCTAGAAGAAAGATGCTACCATGGTTAGCTATGAGGTGAAACACAGCAAATACGATCAAACCTACTTCTCCAGGTTCTGTTGTATAATTTAACAATATTTCAGGACTCATATAAAAAAGGAACATGGACATTTGTTTGTATCTAACAAGATACAATTAACCTCATGGATAATAAGTTAATTTTAAATGCAGCTACTCAGCAAGTTGTTAAAATCAAAAGAACATTTCTCCCTTCTCTGAAACTCTGTATTAAAGTATATTGCAAAAGAGTTTTCTGGAAGGCTCAAAGATGGATAAATGTTTTAAAAGTCTCATTATTATGGGGAAAGAACAAGGAAGTAATACAGGTTTTGGAGTCCAAAATCCCTGGCTTGACACTTGGCTGTAAGGCTGGGCTCAATGACTCGTATCTGTAATCCCAGCAGAATGGGAGGCCAAGGTGGGCAGACTCCTTGAGCTCAAGAGTTTGAGATCAGCCTAGGCAACATAGCAAAACCCTGTCGCTCCAAAAAATATGAATATTAGCCAGGCATAGGGGTGTGCCTGTGGTCCCAGCTACACGGGAGGCTGAGGTAGGAGGACCACTTGAGCCCAGGAGGTCAAGGCTGCAGTGAGTCTGTGATGATGCTACTGCACTCCAGCCTGGACAACAGTGAGACCCTGTGAGCCCTCACTACCCCCCACCAAAAGAAATTTGGCTCTTGTCACTAGCTGCCTCACTTTGGGCAAGTTACCAAACATTTCTGAGACAAAGCTTCTGGATATATAAATTTAGGAAAATGATTCCAATTTCATGAATAGTAAGTGAGACAATATACGTGAAGAAAGCTTATAGTACAGTACTGAACACTCAGCAGGTTTTCAACGAGTCCTGGTTCAACTAAATTCCAATGTTATGTTTGGAGATTTACAGATAATGCTCCAGTGTATAAAATGAAATATTAATATGAATGTAAAGCAGTGTTTCATTATCAGTCGGAATGGTTTTTCTAAGAAGTCTGGAGACCAAATGCCCTATACACATTGTGTTTAGAAGAGGAGTTTAGAGAGAACAAGGTAAAACACTACCGAAAGCCTTGTTGGCCACTTACAAATGTTTTTAAAATAACAGCTGAGGATCTAAAAAATGATATACTATAAAATGCTTTTTAAAAACTATGATTCAATTTAGAACCTCCAGGGATATCATAAAATGGTCTGTCAAATACTTGAATTCCTCCTCTTTTCAGAAGTAGCAAAATAATAATGACAAAAATAAAAATAAAAATAAACAGTATAAGAATCTGAGTACAACTATACAGATACAACTTTAATTTGTCCTACACTGGTAAGTTTTTAACTTACGAGGCCAGGCCCTCACCTCTTTAGTGAGATATGAAACAGTGAGCCTATGACCCTATTAGAAATATACATTGTTCTAAATAATCCCATGGAGGGCTGTTTTTCTCACCTATCTGATTAACTTATATTCTGAGGGATTTTCTGAATTTTATTACAATTTTGTTGAATAATGAAAATGTTCTTAGGTTCTGCATTAGATAAGACCTCTTTAACCAATCTAAGAACTCTTCTTCACTGCCATAAAGCCAAGTTCAATTCTAGCCAAGACATTCAATTTCATTGTATTTTGCCTCATAAAAAGCTGTATTTAAAAAAATAGACTCTTTATATGTGAACAGTACACAATAAAGCAATGATTTAAACTTAAACAGTTTTTAAAGACCCTATTTAAATAGTCTTGTTATGATAATCCTGTGTACGCAGCCTAAACTCTTCCTAAAGAGTTTAGGAACCTTATCTAACCATGACACATAGATAAAAGTGCTTGAGTAGAGCCTGTATAAATGAGATTAAGGATAGTCAGATACATTTGGAGAATATAACACAGATTTGTGTTAAATGGAATTTCTATCTGTTGTCTGTAGAAATTTAAGGCTGTGCTATAGATAGAAGTATAAAAGCAGAACCAGGTTAAAAAAGCTTAAAGAAATGCATTTTCTACCAGATTTGAAGTTACGGTCCTAGACACATGTTTTTGGTTTTTATAAGTCTCTGCTAGTTGGAAAAGATGGAAACAGAAAGACTGCAACCCAGCATTAGAATTATCAAGAAGGAATTTCAATTCAAGAGCCTAGTTCATATTATTTGCAGCTCAGATTTCATTACTAATCTGTACTAAATAATCACCTACACTCCTAAAAGGACTAAAATAGGAGATTGTATGACCTGGCTTGGTAAGACGCTTCAACAGTTAACATCCTTAGAAATGGTCAAATTTCTCTTTAGGAATTCTTCTACTAGGGTTTCCCCGAACAAACCAATGAGTGATTCCAATACTTAGGTAAGATGTGCAGTTAGGAAAAGACTTTCTGCAATGTGCTGCTCATTCAGCAGTAGCGTCCTTCCTTTTTGCAGATTCCTATTGCCCTCCTCCCCTCCATATCCCACACCACTTGGGCTCATCTTTCATGCCCCTCTCCCCCCGAGAAATAATTTCTGTTCTTTGGGGAAAGAGAAAAGCTTTAAGTTTGGAGGAGTCAGGGAAGACCTGCCTGGAGTTGGAGACTTCATCACATCAAATAATCTATATGCAGCATCCTCATGTACGTGATGCCAGTGGAGGAGGGCAATGGCAGACACTGAGGAAGGCAGCCTGAATCCAGATCTGAGGATAAGAGAAAAGGGTGTTCCAGGGAACAGACTCTACCTCAAAGGAAGACCAAATGAAAGGGTGTCCTATACTTCTAGAAACACGGAAAACAACATCATAGATCTGAGGGAGTGATCTATTCCTAAGAGACACCTTTGGAAAATATGCAGGGCTTCTGGGAATTAAGAAAGAGCATTCCAAAACACCACCAAATGCTACTGCCACTAGATCCAAAAAACAGTAAGTAACTAGAAAGAGGAGAAAGAGGCAGAAACAGAGAGGGAGAGACAGTCTTTTAGGGTAGATTCCATATTCTCTGGGAATAAACAGTCCGACTTGTCATTTGATCAAGGAACAGGAATTATGCCAATTACAATAGGATTTTTCCTCTAATTTCCTTCAAGTGATGATAGTGGATAATAGTGGTTCAATTGATTCAAAACACAATTTAATTACTTTTCATTTATGCAACAGTGTTCTAGAGGACCCAGGGCCTAATCTTACACAATCATCATAAATGGACATGTTAACCCATACTACAAGAGCACACACAAAATATATCCGTCCCTACCCAGTCATCCACTGCTGTGTGCTCTCCCTGAGGAACCTCAAAGGTTCTCAGAAGAGACATCAGTGACCAGTCACAAATCTGAGCACCAAAAATGCAGTATATTCATTCCACCATAGTCTCACAGACTCTTGAAGAATCAGTATTTATGGCTGAACAACTAATTCATTATAAACTCACATGGGCAGAGTGGCTATTACAGAACATGTTATTTATGTTATGATGACAGGAATCTTAGGCTTAAAAAAAAAAAGCACACACACACACAAACACAACACACACACAAAAACACAGACATACCTTCTTACAGGAGCTGAATGTGCCATCAGGCAGAAGGGGCCTTCGACGTCTCTCAGGGATAAAGGGTGAGCCAAAGCGAATGTAGTGTTTGGGGGTGGTGCAAATTAATGGGGAATGGATAAGACCTGGTAACATGTTTAGGGTCGTTGCCAGTACAGTTGGATCCGTCGTGATACGTAAAGGGCACTCAACAGGGCACTCTTGCTTCTCTGCTTTGTCATTCAACCATTCTGTAACTAGATACTAACGTAAAAAAGAGATCATTAATTTATAAATCAACAGGTAGCAGTGTAGTTCATAAAGACAAATGTCATCTAGAAACTAGGACAGAGGGAGATGCAGCAGCTACAGTATGAATTGGGCAACCAGAACACAAGGATATCTTCCTTCACCCTCTCCACGTCCACTAAGAGAGGAATAATTTCACCTATCAATGATTTAAGCTGACTAAAAATAAGGAAACAGGTAGCAGGATGGCTCCAGCCTTTGTGTCAAAGCATTTTAGAACTTTCAATCTAATAATATTGAGATTAGTTTCTTCTGGGGATTATAGGTCCTCTCATTTCACTAAGACAGCCCTTGCCAGACTGGACTTATAAAAGATGTATTTGTGACTCACCTTTTTGGTTTTGGGGTATTTAGATGCAGCACGGTTGACATGGGATCCAGTAATTGACACCACAGTTGGGTCAGACCCTGTTAATGGTCTGTTTTCTCCTGAACTGTCTATACTTCCAGCTTCAGTAGGAGTTACTAAACTGTTACTTCCTCCCTCTTCTAAGGCAGCTTGTGACAATTCTGCCTGCTGTGCATTGGCCTGTTTCTGACGCTTTAGTCTTTGGGCTGAACTGGTCCTGTACCGAGAAATTCGACTCTTCGGCCGGGGCCTAGAAGGCTTTGCTGGAGGTGGCTTGGGGACTGGTTTTTCTGCAGCAATATCCTGTAGCAATAATAAGGTCAGATGTTTACCAAAAATGTTTTATCAGCTAACAGTCTAGTTTCCTATTCAAGTTAAGCATTCAGAATGTCTACTGATGAAAACTATAAGGATTAGAAACACTAATTTAAAATGTAATTCTTGGCCAGGCGCTGTGGCTCACGCCTGTAATCCCAGCACTTTGGGAGGCTGAGACGGGTGGATCACAAGGTCAGGAGATCGAGACCATCCTGGCTAACACGGTGAAACTCTGTCTCTACTAAAAATACAAAAAAATTAGCTGAGCATACTGGTGAGCGCCTGTAGTCCCAGCTACTTGGGAGGCTGAGGCAGGAGAATGGTGTCAACCCAGGAGGCGGAGCTTGCAGTGAGCCGAGATCGCACCACTGCACTCCAGCCTGGGTGACAGTGCGAGACTCCATTTCAAAAAAAAAAAAAAGAAAGTAATTCTTAAATGCAAAAATGTATACACTTAAATGAGCTAAAGAGGCTAGAGACAAACGTTTGGGTTATTTCTATTTCTAATAAGCATTTATAAAATAGGCCAATGAAATGGTTCCAGTTACACAGTTAATGGCCTTATTTATTGTGATAGAGCGAAGGTGAAAAAACTGATTTTAAAAATTCCAAAAATTAGGTAATTGACATTAGCAAAGGTAAGGATGTCTAAGCTCTGAAGTCTTTTCAACTCTTACCCCTGCTTGGGAAGACCTCCGGGTATTCACACCAACACTCTGTGGGGTGCTTGGGATGGTAACATTTGAAGCAGAGTTGCTAACTTCAGATTCAGGGGCTTCAGTTTTTGTTTCTTCACCAACAGGAGTCTCTGAAGTGGTTGTATTAATCTCTACATCAGAGTTGCTCTGTTCCAAAGGCTGATCTCGCCGCTTCTTTCTTTTCTCTAAGTTTTCAAAAGCATGCATGATGGCTTCTACTTTTCTATCTTCCCTGGTCTAGAAAGAAATAGTATTGGTGTAGAAGAAAGCTTCAAATGAGGACGAGGGGACAGCCTTTATAAAAGTATTTTTAATGGAAATTTATAGAAATTCATTTAACTACCAGTAAGATGACACATATAACTTGGAAAACACAAGAAAAAACTAAAAATAAAATATTTCATTTTAAATGTGGGGAATAGTTGTAAATAAAGGCAAAGTCAAACATAAACTTTTCAAAAAGGGTCAATTATTTTGAAACTTTTTACTATGAAAACAGGATGGGTGCGGTGGCTCATGTCTATAATCCCAGTACTTTGGGATGGGTGCGGTGGCTCATGTCTATAATCCCGAGGTGGGAAGATCACGAGGTCAGGAGATTGAGACCGTCTTGGCCAACATGGTGAAACTCCATCTCCACTACAATACAAAAAATTAGCCAGGTACGGTGGCACATGCCTGCAATCCCAGCTACTTGGGAGGCTGAGGCAAGGGAATCGCTTGAACCTGGGAGGCAGGGGTTACGGTGAGCTGAGATTGCGCCACTGCACTCCAGCCTGGCGAAAAAGCAAGACTCGGTCTTAAAAAACAAAACAAAACAAAACAAAACAAAACAAAAAACTCATCAAATCAGGGTCATAAACACACAGGATTGGTTTCAGCATAAAAGCAGAAAATTTTAGTTCATACGACTAAAAGGGTTTAAAAAAAATTCAAAACTCACACAAACCTAGAAAACTCCTAATTCAGAGCAAACCAACTATAATACATTTTGATTCTGACTAGCCAATTTTTCAGAAACCAGACTGTTATAAAAAAAACCTCTTAAAACCATCACTAGATAATAATCACTAGAAAACTACCGTGTGTATAAAGAAAAATAAATCAAAGAATTATAATAAAATCTTTATTATGAAAAAGCCCAAATTATAACCTCCAGGTCAAATCAATGAGATGATACAAAGTTAAGAGAACAGAAGAACATGATGGAGGTAGCAGGAATAAGAAGGAGCAAAGGAATGTCACAGTACTCACCCTCCTGCTATGAGCTAGGTTCTCCTGGTCATCTATAACCTCTTCTTTCTCTTCTTCTGGTTTTTCTTCTGGATTGTCTACTTCCTTTAAGATAGAGGCAATATTCAGCTGTACTCAAGCTCTGAGAAAAAATCAATCTGTTTTATTCTGGTAGCTTAAAACTCTCTATAACAATCTCTAATGCTTTCAAGTGTTAACTCATGTGAGGCCACATAGTAAACATAAATGATAACCCCTATTCTCTGGTACAAAACCAGCAAAGGATGTTTCTGACTTTGTAAAACAGAAAGAAATGAATGAACACAATACACCCACATTGATATAAAGGGCATTAAGTGTTACTATAGCGCCCCTACTTAAACCATGTGGCAACTCAGGTTCCTCTTCCTTCAAAGGATTGATGACATAGCATCATCATTTGACCAGGGGCGATTACCTCATGATCACTGGATACAGTTACTTTTTCTGGAACTTCTTGTGATTGCTGGTCATTATTCTCCTCTGGAGCCTCATTCTGCTGCTCCATCTCTAGCTCTTTCCGTCGTGCTTTTCTACGTCTAGTCTCTGCTCCAATGGTGGGTAGGCTTGGAGGAGGTGGTGGGAGTGGCAGTTCTGTAGCATTAGGATTCCTTTTTTGTATAGGACAATTCCGGTTTCCCTTGTGACAGGCACAGTCCACTTTATAATTACTGCTCCAAAGAAACAACCAAAATGCCTGTCTCAGTACCCTTGAAATTCCGTTACATTATCCATTTACCCTCTCAAAATATCAGCACAGTAATTTCCTCTGATACGATCTCTGAATAAGTTAAACAGAGAAATTAGAGAGTCCTATACTTTTGTTTTTCTTTTTATCGAAGATGGAGTCTCACTTTGTCATCCAGGCTGGAGTGCAGTGGTGCATCACAGCTCACTGTAACCTCTGCTTCCTGGGCTCAAGTGATCCTATTACCTCAGCCTCCTGAGTAGCTGGAACTACGTGCCCAGCTAATTTTTTTTATTTTCGGCAGAGATGGGGTTTTGCCTTTTTGTCGAGGCTGGTCTCGAACTCCTGGGCTCAAGTGATCCTCGAGCCTTAGCCTCCCAAAGTGCTGGGATTACAGGTATGAGTCACCGCACCTGATGTAACACTTTCAATATTCTGTCTTTCTCTGTGTAACCCCAATTCTACTCCATGGTCAGTGGGGAAAAAAAGAAAACCCTGCCTAAATCCAATCCCCCCAGTGGTTTATTAGCTATTTAGTAGGCATTGAATCAAGGATAAAGGCTGATGTGGCCATACTCATCTTGTGCCCACCATTACATGTCCTCACTTTTACCTACTAATTCCCTACTTCTTAAAACCTTTTCTTTTCATTTTCCTTGATGAATTAAGCAGAACATCTTTTTTCTTATACCTGGGCCAAACATCACGTTACCACATAACCTCTATTTTGCCCCAAATGACCAAGGAACAAAAAGCATATACTTTATAAAATCCACCACATATTCATGTATGAATTGCCATTTATGGTTTTCTGCACTGTCATATACAGCTAGACAACATGGTTTCTGTGGATAAGGTGGATCTTTAAATCCCACTTCTAGCTTTATAAGGGTATAATTGACAAATTTAAAGTAGAGATAACACATTAAATTCTATTTTTTTTTTTAAATGGAGTCTCCCTCTGTTGCCAGGTTGGAGTGCAGTGGCGCGATCTTGGCTCACTACAGCCTCTGTCTCCCAGGTTCAAGTGATTCTCCTGCCTCAGCCTCTCGAGTGGCTGGGACTACAGGCACGTGCTACCACGCCTGGCTAATTTTTGTATTTTTAGTAGAGACAAGGTTTCATTGTTGGCCAGGAAGGTCTTGATCTCCTGACCTCGTGATCCGCCCACCTCAGCCTTCCGAAGTGCTGGGATTACAGGCATGAGCCGCTGTGCCTGGCCTAAATTCCCATTTTATATGGTCCCTGACATAAGTACTCAGTGCATAACAACAGGATGCTATTATAATTTCCAGGAGTGTCTCATACATATATATCCATTTTGCTATTCTTGCTAAAAAGGCATAAGTGAAAACACTTGTCAGGAAACTTGTGAGCAGTATCATGTAAGGTATCCATATCTCTAAAAAAAAAAATCTTGTCTTTTCCTTTACAATTTCTAGGCAGAAAACTCATTAGTCATGGAAAGATTAAGCAAACAAAGGAAAAGGCAAGAAACAAAGCAGACTAGAGTGAACAGCTTAATATAGAAGACAAGGACATTCATGTTAGGAAAGGTTTTTGAGATCTTACCAGTTACTATACTCATAATCAAATGCTATGGTGACCTCAGCATCCTTGGTGATGGCAGACACAGCATAGATGCACAGGTGAATCATCCCATCTGCAATCATGTGTCGCACCTGTGTGAAAAGGCATCTGGTTGGATTTTTCACAAAGACCATGAACTTTCCGTAACAGAAAAAAACCATACTTTCTCTCCATTTTAGAGTTATGGTAATCTTTATTTAACTCAATCTTTTTATCTGAAACTATTATACTGTACTGGCTTGAAAATTTATGATACTTCTTGAAATACGTGGAGGAACCTTGAGATGTTAGAAATCAGGGTAAAAATCTCTACTTTCACATCTCTTTTTTTTTTTTTTTTTGAGATGAAGTCTTGCTCTGTTGCTCAGGCTGGAGTGGAGAGGTGCGATCTTGGCTCACCGCAACCTCTGCCTCCCGGGTTCAAGCAATTCTCCTGTGTCAGCGTCTTGAGTAGCTGGGAATACAGGCACATGCCACCATGCCCAGTTGATTTTTGTATTTTTTTTTTTTTAGTAGAGACGGGGTTTCACCATGTTGGCCAGGCTGGTCTCGAACTCCTGACCTTGTGATCTGCCCGCCTCAGCCTTCCAAAGTGCTGGGATTACAGGCATGAGCCACCGCGCCCAGCCGCTTTCACATCTTATAGCTGTTTCTAGCTCCACCAGAGAATTAAAATTCCTTAGCCAGTAAGTAAAGCTCTGTGGATTTTCTTGCTTTATTTGATGTGGCTGCTCTGAGTAATGAATTCTAGAAATGCCTAGATCCTCTCATAGAACACTACTTACTAAAATCTAAAGGAGCTACAACCAAATAACTTAGTTAGGCCTGATGACATCTACTTACACCGTATGGCAATTTCTTTAATACAACTACACTTGATTTTCTTATTCAGTCTAGCTTTCTCCTTAGCAAATGCTAACTTGCTCTTTTCTATTTCTGCCTTCTCTAAAGAAAATTCTTTCCTTGCTCCCATTTTCTCAGTATAAAAGCACCATTACTTTTGTTTTTCACCTCTCACAATGAAATATCACGACTATTATCTACAGACCTTTATCTGAGTGAAGTTTTCACACTGTTTCTTCAGTAAGCTTGTCATTTGATGGTTCCAGTCAAAGGGAAGTTGCTACAGATATCTTACCTCTGCATTTGGTGTACATGATCTTCTGATGAACCGAGCATCATTACCGAAAGTACGGGCATCCACACACATCTCTACACCATTGAATTTTGAGTAGAAGAGCACAAAGGGGTATGGTCTAGGGATATAATTAAAATTCCTGTAATTCTCAACACAAAAAAGAAGGCCACCCCATGACTCCAAATATGAAGCATATGCTGAGAGAAGCAGCAGCAGTCTTTTACAATGCCTAAACTTGGAAAACATCACATGCTTGTCTGCTTTTGATTAAAGAACAAGCACAAAGCAAGGAATGCTTGGCTTGGAAAGGAGTTGTCACCACTTTATACATTAAACAATTTGCAGATTTACTTGTACTTCTCTACAAATAGCAGACAGGCGTGAGCTTATCTGAGTTGTGATTTTTTTTCTCCCAAGAGCATCCTATCAAACAGAATGATTTTTACAACACTGGACAACCAGGTCCACCTTAGCCCTCACTGCTCAATGAATGATGTTCTTACTTTTTGAAGAAATGCCCATTGACCTCAAATTGCTGTCGTAGCATGACTTTCCCACGATACTCTATTATAAGAGTGTCCAAAGCCAAATCTCTTGCAGCCCTCAGGATCTTCCGGTGCTTTTGAACACGAGTGACTCTTCCCAGCTGTAACTGAATAAAACCAGAGCAGTAACATTAAACAACAGCAAGAACACCTTAGTAGACACTCAAATTATTTCATAATTAAGGAAAACATGCTAACATTTTCAGGTTTTATCTGTATATGTTATTTAGATCAATGATGAGAAATTTTAAAATGTGACAAAAGCTCAATTTTTCTAAGAGACATGCTACATCTAGTGAAACTGCCTCCCCAGAAAAGGCAACATAAAAAAACCCAAAAAACAAACAAAAACAAAACAAAACAAAAACACAAAAAACCATGATTAAAATTTCAGTGACTCTATCTCTAATAAAGTTGGGAAAGAACATGCTTAACTTTCTATAAATCTTAGATAATCCCTACCTACGTTATACAAAATTTCCCATACTAAGTCATCTTTTTTTTTTTTTTTTTTTTTTTAAAGAGACAGGGTCTCACTCTGTCACCCAGGCTGGAGTGCAGTGGTGCAACAATCATAACTTACTATAACCTCAAATTCATTCAAGTGATCCTTCCACCTCAGCCTCCCCAGTAGCTGGGACTTACAGGTGTGTACCATCACAATGGCTTTTAATTTTTTTTGTAAAGAGAGGGTCTCACTATGTTGTACAGGCTGGTCTTGAACTGCTGGCCTCAAGCAATCCTCCCACCTTGACTTCTTGCCAAAGTGTTGTATTCTAGGAGTGAGCCACTGCACACAGCCTCAATTCATCTATTTTTTATTAATAAAGGTAGTTTAAAAATATGTATCCAGATAGTTTCCAGTTAATATAACCTACTTTTGGTTACATATGATCAACACCTGTCTAATCTGTTATTCTATGGCCTTGTACATTTGGAAGGAACAGTAATTCCAATCCATTACCCTCTTTCTGGGTTCTTAAAATTTCAGATACTTAGAGAGTCTTCAACCCTTTGGTGCTTACCTGCATTTGGGAACCAATAACTGTGTTATTACAGGCCAATTCAGTCTTATTAATAGTGTCTAAAATAGTAGGTTTGCCCACAAATTCCTTGCTAGAATGTAGGTGTTGTTCAAGGGCGTTCTGTACATCTGCACTGTACTGATTAGTGAAAGCTTCTTCATACTGGTCAGTCCATAGTCTTATCCGATTTTCCCAGCCCTCAGTTGTATTCTCATCTAAATTCTGTGCTTCAGTGGGAGAATTCTGTAGAAAACAAATTCAGGGAAGTTAGTAAAGTCCATGCAAAAATAGGGGGTTGGGAATGGGGGTGGGACAAGTTGGGGTTCCAGAGAAAATCTATCACTTGGCAACTGATGTGGCATAAAAGAGTAATGGACTGGGAGTCAGAGGATCTGGTTTCTATCATGCTTTTGTTACCAATGAGAGGTGAGACCTTGAACGACTTCTTTAAACGGGGAAGCTCAGTTTCTCCATTTATAAAGTAAGAAATTAATTGGGATCATAGTTTTACCCCATCACTGTGATTTTATGACCATTTTAAAGTCATAAAAATCAATTTTCTTACCAAAAGACTGACATCAAGTTCATAAGAAAATCTTCATAAAAATGAACAGTAGAGACCTCACATTTACCACTGCTTAAATTTTTCATACTCACTCTGTGTTGGTGTTAACCCAAACTGGTTTTTTGACTATTCTCCAGGAGAATGAATGTTTTTGTGTCACTTATTATTTTCATAATTCATGTTCTTTCTAAACCTACATGTGACCTTAATCAGTCAATCTCATCAATCCAATCATAATCTTACTGCCCATATAAAAAGTTATTATTTGAGTATATCTTTCTAACACCCTGTTTTCAACATTTTAAATTACCACATTCTAAATAATCTGAAGAGGTGAAGTGAGGGGAGAGGAGTAGGTAGGGAGAATACAGAAAATGTCTAAGAGGTACTTTGCTATACTCCTCTAGGAAAACCATTGCCCTCTATGGTGACAGTATTGAGAAAAGATTACAACTCAGGAACAGCTTCCTAGGCAGACAGTGCCTGAGCTACAAAGACAAAGCTTAAGCCCAATACATGCTCTTCTCCATGGTGTTCAAGACTTAAGTGCCATCAGAAAACAAAACAAACACTGACAGTAATGATATCATGCTAGTGATGATTAGAAGGAAAAGACACTGTAGTACCAAAGCTACTTGAAAATCCATGTCCACATTAAACTTGCAAACAGGCACAACAAAATTAAATATACTTTCCATGAATGGCACAGAAAACACGGATGCTTATCATCACACTTTCTTTTGCCACTTTTGCATCACTGTTGCTGACTGATTATTGTCTACTATCCTTTCTGCAAGGAACAGGAGTATGGAAGAAAAAAAAAATCAACACTATTGTTTCCACATTTCTTACTAGATAGTCCAAAAGACTGGAAAATAAACAGAGAGATCTAAAGAAACACCTAAGGCCAACATACTGACAATCAGAGTATCACCTGCTTGACATCAGTAGCAGTTATGCAAAAGAATAGTGCAAAACCTTAGGCTTAACGGAGCTTACAGACTGGGGGATTGGCAATGTTCAAACAATATTCCCAGCTTTAAGTAGCAATCATTAAACTTATGACTTGGTAAGTGTACTGTATTCTGGAAGCCTCTGTCACAGTATTTGCCATTGTTTACTAATCTCACTGTGTGTTTACTCTGCTGTCCCATCCTTCAAGGCATTAGAGACTCTACCTCAGCTGGGTTTAGAGCAGTGGTTCTCAATTGAGGGAAATTTTGCACCCAGGTGACATTTGGTAATATCTGAAGACATTTTTGATAATCTCAACTGAGTGTATGAGTGTTACCGGCATCTAGTGGGTAGACACCAGGGATTCTGTTCACATCTTGAAAGCACAGAACAGTCCCTTCCACAACACAGATTTGGTCCAAACTGTCAGCAGTGTTAAGACTGAGAAACCCTGATTTACAATTAAGTCTTCAGTAGGGAAGTTGCTCTTGACACTGGGATTAAAAATCCAAATGATATTTTTTTTCTAATTCTTACGGCTCCCACCTGGATCACTGGAGGAGTTTTAAACTAGTAATTCTGAGCATAAAATTTATAACTCAACTTAGAATTAAAAGACTCAAAATGACTAGTAATTTTTTTTTTTTCCTGTCTAAATTTTAACACACCTATGAGGCTGTCAACCTCCCAAAACTGAAAGCAGAATATGGGGTTTATGTGCAGTTTTCTGGTAGAGCCAGTCTATAGCTTTCAAAAGGTTTTGAGCTTCTGGAGATGAGTTATGATAGTTGCTTGATGAGAGAAAAGCACTTAGTAGCCGGGATTAGGGCTATTATCCGACTCCAAAGTCTATTTAAAAGGCCCCTCTCTAAGCAAATGAGACAAAAATAAAGGGGCAGCTAAAGCAAACTTGGCCACTTGCAGGAGACAGATCCAGCAAAGAAATGATTAATTTGTCTTCCAAGACACATCCCAGGCCTCTGATGCCAGGCCTCTGATGGTCTCCCAACACTTTCACAGGTATGTGCAAGTCTGTTTATAGATATTAAGTGAGGTCTTCGAACTTTAGGTAAAGTGCTACCTGTAATCTTTGCTAACACCAGTCACATTGGTGCCGCACATAAAGCAATCCCAAAAAAGCTTATCCTTACTGAATTTTTTTTTTTTTTGAGATGGAGTCTTGCTCTGTTGCCCAGGCTGGAGTGGCGTGGCGTGATCTCAGCTCACTACAACCGCCGCCTCCTGGGTTCAAGTGATTCTCCTGCCTCAGCCTCCCAAGTAGCTGGGACTACAGGTGCCTGCCACCATGCCTGGCTAATTTTGGTATTTTTAGTAGAGATGGGGTTTCACCATGTTGGCTAAGCTGGTCTTGAATTCCCGACCTCAGGTGATCAACTTGCCTTGGTCTTCCAAACTGCTAGGATTACAGGTATGAGAAACTGAGCCTGGCCTTACAAAAGATTTTAATGTTTATGCCCTCTAACTCTCAATAGGAAAGAGCCTGCTTTTGTATCATTTAAGAATATAAATACTTATAAACTCGAATTTAATTCTAATTAAATGCTTTGAAGCCCTCAGTAATAATTTGGGAGGTATGTTTTCCTCCTATATATATATACACATAGGTAAAGGAGGATACCAGACAGCATAATCAAATCTCCTTTTGGCAAACTGTTTTTAATCAACCAGCACCTAACAGTTCTTCTAAACCATTCCACATAATTGCTCTATTCTCCAAGTTCTTTACAAAGTCATACCTCATAAACTCTTTTATTTGATATCTTAAGAAACACGCTAGCATTATCTAAGTCTTTTCCACCAAACAGATATGCTAAGAGAAAACAGTAATTCTTATCAGTAATACAAGCCTTCTGCAATTAAAGCCCACACAGTGCTAGGGTAGATGCACAAGAGATCCTATATCATTACCAGAAAACTCCACTCCTAAGGTTGAGTTCAATCACAGTGACAGAACATACCAGCCTCATGTTGTTTGGAAAAATGTCACTTACCCCCTACAAAAGCAATGCATGAAAAACCAATCAATGAAGGCTGATTACAGAAAGGGAAAATATTTCAGAAAATGGCCAAGAAAATCTACTTTGGAGAAAAGCTCTATGAAAACTGAATGGCAACAACTACAAACTAATGAAAAGCAGACTCCAAGATTCCCAGACCATCAATGTCAAGAAAGAAGCTGACCAAAATGCAAGATCACAGTGAAGTAAAACACAGCATCAGCGAAGATTACCCCTTACCTTCATCCGCAAGGACTTCCGGGATCCCTCTCGAAATGCCTATCCCAAGGAGGAAAACAAGTAGAACAAACAAAACTTGGTACCAAGAATGACAGTTATACCTATCTGAGACTAAAACTAAGGCACAAACTAGTGTTCTATTCTGTCCCCGTTTCTCTAGGTAAAAAATACAATGGAATTCCCCAAACTATTATCAAGAATAGGGGTAGCTCAAGGCCAATGAACTCTGAGACTAATTTTAATACTTTCTACTGTGAAGCTAGGTAATTAACAGGGAAGAGCATGCGTCTCTTAAATCCTATATGCACCTCTGATACTAAGAGAAAAAGTAAATAAAAAAACTTTAAAGTTGCAGATTTACCAGTTTTGCAACTAAGAAGGAAACAAAGACCAATCCCCTTAACAAGGGGTGAACAAGTCACCTAGAAGCAACAAAGTTGCTGTGATGGGGAAGAAAGAACACAAACCAGAAGAAGTTTCTCCCGGAGACTTTTTAGCTGAGAATACAGGAAAGTGACCATGACACTGAGGAAGCCTAGAGCATTCAAGAGATGTTTCCTGATTTTTATTTTTTTTGAAACAAGGAAAAACAATCAACCCAAAGACATGAGGCATGTAACCAGGACAAGAATTTCAGACTGTACTTTGGGGTTGAAAGGTGGGGAGATACTGTAAGGATAGTGGAAGCCTAGACTTGAGGCTGCAACACATATGGGCTTGTGCCAGGTAGGGCTGGAATTTCATACCTGGGATGGGGGCTGGAGTAGAAGAAACTTTGAGCCAGTGGTGATGATATGGTGTGGCAGAAGAGAAGTTGGTCTACATGTATATAACACAGATTAGCTGATTTTTGCAAGTAGAACAAAAGTGGCCCTTCAAATACCTGGATCAAACTTCTTAAAAGAATTTTGGTGCATTCTTGCTCCAAAATTTGAGCTATTTCAGACACTTATATTTATTTTTACCCTACATACCTTGATTTTCTTCGTCTTTGGTGCTGCACGACCCTTTTCTGGACTCTTTTTCCGCTTCTTGGGTTTGGTTCTTCTAACAGTTAAGGTGATGCTTGTAGGTGTGTGCTGTGTTGCCGTATACAACACAGTGGAAGGAGAAAGCTCCTCATCCCAGCTTTCTGTTGCACTGCTATCCCCACCTGAAAAACGATGATTTATTAGTTCAGGTACTAATAGCCTCAAAAGTACATTAAAAGTAGCTTATTGTTTTAGGTGTGCACCACATGCAGTAAGTCATTACTTACATTATTAACTCTCATTATCTGTAAAGCAACGTTAAGTACCCATCTTCCTTATGAAAACAAGATTCTATGTCATTGGCATTAAGCATATAAACCCTATTCCTCATGGTATCTATTTCTCCCCTTGTATTCAGTCTCTAAGCTTCACTGACTCAATCTATAACAATTTGAGACTGGCTAATTTTTAAAAGAGGGATCCATGCTTTTGGTGTTCACAAAGAATACTTTGCTACAGGGCTAAAATGTTCCCAATACATTTCGTTTACAATGAGAGAACTATACAGTGGTCTTGAGAGGACTTCTATCTCTTTCTGTGAAAAGAGCTGGCTGGGGGACCATAGGAACTTATAAGAGGGGTCTTTTTTTTTTTTTGAGACGGAGTTTTGCTCTTGTTGCTTAGGCTGGAGTGCAATGGCGCAATCTCGGCTCATGGCAACCTCCGCCTCCCGGGTTCAAACGATTCTCCTGCCTCAGCCTCCCGAGTAGCTGGGATTACAGGCATGCGCCACCACATCTGGCTATTTTGGATTTTTAGTAGAGATGGGGTTTCTCCATGTTGGTCAGGCTGGTCTCAAACTCCCGACCTCAGGTGATCCACCCGCTTTGGCCTCCCAAAGTGCTGGGATTACAGGCGTGATCAATTGCACCCGGCCAAGAGAGGTTCTTAAAATGAACATTCAGATCACAGAATATTTATATGTCAAACTGTGGACCTAATCCATCTTCCGCTCACCTGATATGTTGTCCTGCTTCCGCCGATGAAGTCTAATAACCTTCCCCCTGCTCATTCCCCTAAAGAGGGAAAATAAACTTAAAGTAGTCCTTTCAACAGCATGCATCACATCATAGCACACATGGGCGAAGTGTCTCTGCATATGCTACCCCCTCCCTCCCACCTACCAAATGTTTCCAGGACATTAAATTTCATATCAAATTCAATAGCTTTAACATCAATCTCTCATTCCTTGTTGTCAGCAATTCTCACCTAGTGCAGAGAATTCGAGCCAAGGAGCACTAAGGAATCATCTACATTAACAAACACAAGAAAGAATACTTTGAGCTTTTCCCTACTTGTAAGAAACCCTAATCCCAGCAACCCAGACTTAAATTTAGATGGAACAGGATCTTACCTGCACTTGTCACAGTTGAGAAGGAAGCCATCCTGAGAAAGACCACAAGGACACCAGGTAGGTACAGTCTCTCCTTCAGAGTTCGGGCTGTCTCCACAGCGTTCCTCTACGGGCGACGGCAGGCCATTCAGGTCAGAACGAGGGATGATCGTCTGGACAGGGGGAGAAGCAGGAGGTGTCGGAGGAGGAGGGGCTCCGTAATTATGATCCTGAAAATAAGATTTTTTAAATCAACAGTGTCCAAACACTGGCCCCTCTCTCCCCTAAAGTATGGTACATATGGAAAGAAAGAAGAAAGTAGTACCCTTCGTTTTTTGGCTTCAACCAGGAAAGTGATAAAACAAAATGCCAAGGTCAACTGGGACATAAAAACAAGAACAATGATGCAGGGCTAGACGTCCGCTGGAGTCAGGGAAGTGCAAAAGGGGCAACTTCGTCATGCTGCATATAAACATTTCAAGAAAGTCACAATGTATAAGAATGGATTACACTCCAGGAAGATCACTGTTCTGGAGAGAAACAAATGCATACTCACAGCATAAGGCAGTCCTCGACACCCATGCCTCTGAGTGGTCCCATAATTATGAGTGGAATACACGCTCTTCTCATTAACTGCTGGACTAGCCTCCACAGATTCAGGGCTGCACAAAGGCGAAAAGCAATGCATGATAGCATAACACCTAATCTTCCCTTAAACTAACACTTCATTTCCCATTCTAAACCCTCCTCTTTCCACAACCACTAGCCACTAGGATAAGAGAAAGCACTCAGTGAAACAATCTTATTAACATAACTAAGCCTATAAATAACAGTAGGAGTGTTATTAAATGTGGATTTGTGTGAAGCCAGTACAGGCAGATGTCTGAAGGCAGGCACCTGAGATACAAGGTGTCCCTAATGACAAACACAAACGTACCAGCTGAGCGGGGAGTTTCCCCTAGAGAAGCCACTCTGGGCTGGTTTAGACTCAGAACTATTCTTCTTAATTGGATCTCTTAATACTTCCATGAAACCTCACATGACATTTGCAGTGAGTGAGATGATGAAAGTGCCTTCTGCACTGCCCCAGGGACCAGGCCCTCTTCCATTCACTACCAAGACAGGATACCCTGAAGAAAGTACAGGTAAAAACAATGGCATCTTATATTTATCATACCTCTCATCTTGACGAACCCCCAACACCTTTCAAATATTAGAGTAATAATTTCTCATCCACCAATGACATGCAAGCATATTAAGGACAAAATTATTTATCAGCTGCATGATAATACCATAGCACTTCAAAATAAAAACTAAACTGGAAAGTTATGTTAGTCTAGTGACAAATAATAACAACAGTAATGGCCACCATTGTGAACTGCCCATTATTTGTTAGGTGCTTTATATATCTATTAATTCAATTTCAGCAACCACTAAACATGGTATATACCCCATTTTTACAGAGGGGGAAGATGTGGTGGTGAGATTACATGACTTCCCCAAGGTTACATATTGACACAGCTAAGATTTGAAACAAAGTCTGTCTGACTCTAAAGTCTATGCTCTTTCCGCTATAGAAACGAGGATGACATTTAGTCCTTTAAAGAAAATTATTTGAGACCTTTATTAACCAGGCTTAGTGAGAAGCTTGGTTTAGTATCTTTTTGTACCCTTTGGGAGTAGAAAATAAACTATTCAAGCACAATGTATTATTGTAGAATTATACATGTATTCAAACTTAGAAAATTAACATAAGCCTTTACAATAAAAAGGCTTTGATGGCAAAGGATAATATTCAGGTTTATGGGAAGCAAGAACTTCAACTTTGATTGTTACCTGGTTAGGTTTTAGGGAATACTGAAGGATAATTCAAAAATAAAAAGTTTGTACAGCTTTGCAGAATAGAATAGTAATTTGTAATTTATATTAATTAGAACACAGATTCACAAATTAGAAACTCCGATGATTGGTATAACACAAACTTAGAGATTAATGGGTCTTTCAGGGAGTCAAATAATGCTTATTGTTTGCTTGAAATAACAGACATTTTTTCCTGCTTAGAGATATACAATATACAGTATGGCAGGAATAAGTAAGTGTGCAGTTCAGTGTGGTAATGTCAATTGAGAAGTGAGGGATCAAAGAAAATTCTGAGATGTGTATCCAACTCACCCAGTTATATGCTCCAAAACTGTGAGAAGGGATCTTATTAATAACAGCAAAGGAAATTTCTAGGTGAAGAAGAACTTTAGACAGAGGAAAGTATTCTCTGTTAGTGAGGTGCATGCATTTTATTACTTAAAAGTGTCTGCAAGATGGGAACGGGGGAGGGGTACATCAAGAATGCAGGTCAGTATTCTTGAGAAAAAGATGATCTGAACATGGCTCACTGAGAGGCAATCATCTCTGAGTATTAGGAAACAGGTGGGGTTTCCTAAATGAAACCAAAGGCAGACAAGCAATAATAGAATGAAGGTATAATTTAGTTTCTATGATGGACAGTTAAAAGAAAGTAATAAATTTATACAACATTGTTAATTTACTAGGTACATTATTAAACAAGTATTCCAAAAGCTGTATATATTTTATATAGATTTTGTACCACTGAACACATGGAGTGAAACATGACAGCTGTTTATTAGGAATGGATTTTTTTTGGGGGGTGGGGACAGGAAAAACGAAAGTTGCATGAAATCAAAGATGGCCATGGAGATGGAGCTATGCTGGTTGTATCTTACCCATCTCCAAACGGGTAAATATGAACATATGCACTTCATGTGCAAGTCTAGGGAATAAAAATAAAATGTATATTGTGGAGGTTAAAAGGCCATCGTATTGCACAATACTTTCTAGTTAAGCACAGCATTGAATATATTGCTGTGCATGCCAAATCTAAAATTTAAACTCTTCTGATGAAGAAACTCTGCAATTTCCATATTGGTTATTGATTAAATACATAGTTAGACATTGACAGGTAACTATAAGATTTCCTAAAACATTCCTTGATATATATACTAGTTTTTATATTTAAAAATATGAATTAAAAATTTGGAATGGAATTACATCTCTTTAGCAGGCAAACACTTTATGCAAATCTAATTACAGCCTTTCTTCTCCTATCACTGAATTGGACACATACACAGAAACCAGGCTCACAACAGATATACTCCATCAACTGTGTTCTAAGTACAACATGCAACCCAGTTGCTATCATGCCATTTCTTGGAAAATGCCTGAAATTCTGTAATGGCAGAATTGGAAATTCAGAAAAATCTTTGCTTCACTTGTTACACTTGTTACATCTACAAAATTTCCTACAAACACACACAAAAATAAATGCGTATTGCATATAGTTGCCATCGGATTTAAAATCCTATGAAGTCTAGGTCTAGTTAAGTATGCTGCACTTAATACCAGGTTTAATCTTAAAGTGCCTAGGACAGTGAAATAGGCATGATGAAACATTAATAAATATTAATAATTTAACAGAATGGTAGGTAGCTAGTCATTGACATTCTTTCCCTTTGTAGAAATGCGTAACTATGTAGCCAGTTACGACTACAGTATCAGAAATCTGTCTGGAGATCAGGAATGAAAATGTTTCAGGAAATCCTAGAATACGCTAGTGTTAACAGAGACAGTGCAGTCACATTTGTAGACCAGAAGTATTTTTATTTCTGAAATTACTCCTGGACTCCCTAGCAGTATTTGCGGGCAGTCATGTCTATACTTTGGGGAAAACACCAATTGTAAGATTAACTGCTCTGGGTCTTTTATCTACTAATTCCAAACTTACTGGTTTAACCTCTTTGTTGAAATTTCTCACAAATGTTAATGCTATCTATCTACCTAGTTAGACAACCTACATAGTACCAGGTTAGTAGCCGACTTTATAAAAACCTATAAACACAATACAACTGGGCTACCTACTAATGCAGGAAGAGTTTTAAGTACTTTATTTGGGGAAAGAGTTGTAAAATGGTAAGTCTCAGTTACTGATATAACTAAATACCTTTTGCATGCAAAAAAACCCAAACCAAACCAAAATAAAAAAAACAAAAGAAGAAAAAAGCTCTAGAAGAAACAAAATCAACCCTTCCCCACTCCCAACCCTCCTTTCTCCTTTTTATATGGGAAAAAGCCCAAACGCTGCTTTCCGTTTTAGACTACCCCAGAATATTATATACTATTTCTCAGGGTAGCTTTAAGTCTTCCTTTTTAAGGAACTCAGTCAACAGGTAAGTTATATTAGGTGGCTTTATGAAGAAATATACACAATCTTTAATAATATTGTTTTAAGGAAGAAAACCACTATTAATCAGGGTTGCCATTCAACCCAGAAATCTGGTACAGTTGCTTTGCTTTGCTGAAGGGGGACGCATCCCCGGGGACTGTGAAAATGGCAAGAGAAACAGGGGAATTAGAGCAACACCCACCTCACTCAAGAAGTGGCTGTGGGATCAAGAGTCTGAACTGGACCTGAACATATTCAAAACACCAGGATTTTTCCAGCCCAGACCCTAATCCCTGGTACTGCCTGGAATAGACTTGGCTTCTGGGGGTGTGCTGCCCCCTAGGCCCCTTGGGTCTCTTTCGCTGGACTTTCACATCCTGGTGTAGTGCCACTTCGTCTTGAAAGGTAGGGGGCTTCCACTTCCTTTCTGTAAGCAAGGAAGATTGGGTACAAGGGAGGTAAAAGGACAACAGGGGGAATCTGTGAGCAGGGGGAATCTTGGACAACTTAAAAGAGAAGGGATACAAAAGACTAAAAATTTAAAAACTGTGAATAATATATATAAAAGTTGTATAATGAAGGCCTACCTTCATTGTCATTTGGCATTTACATTCTTCAAGAATTGAGAGTATAATTTTAGGGATTGGGCCTTTGGACAAACTCTGAATTCCTAAAGCTGCTCTTAGCTGAAAAGAAAGTTTGGTACCACTGATTTTGAAGGTCCTCTTTCTAGGCAATGAATATTATAAAAATAAACAGATGACACTGCTCTCCATGTTTTCTACCCCAGATGTCAGAAGGTCTAGGCAACCTGCCCATATAGTTTCAACCCCTTTACTCTAGAACAATGGGAAGTACATAGGAAGAGGACTTCAAGGAAAATCAGTTGGAAAGAACACCTTATCTCCCTCCATCAGAATAATCATTAATTCTACAGAAGCAGGTAGTAATACCTACTTTATTCTAATTTTCCCCACCCATTAAAATAAATGAGAATGAATTCCTACTTTGCAACTTTGGTTCTATTAATTATTTGCCCAGAAATACCCCTCTGAAAACTCTTCCTTCCCCTTCTAATTCCTTTTTTCCTCCAGCTTCAATGGGGGTAAAGGGAAAGGTCTAATGTTAATTATAGTGGGACAGGATCTGGTTAAGAAAATACTACATATTATCTTATTAGCTATCCATAAGAAAGTTGTCTCCACACAGACTGGTAATTTACCTATGACCTAGAAAGTAGCACTTACTCTGATCCAGCAGCCATATCTGAGTAGGATGTATCTGGTGTGGTGACTCCCAGAGGGATTGCAATGCTCATGACGTCCAACACAGCAGAGATTGGAAATCACGGGGTCCAATTAATGGAGACTGACCACTCTGAGAGTGGGGGTGAGCTGCAGAGCGTCATCCAACATGTTATGGACATGAGGAATCCTACAATAGAAAAGGAAAATATCTAGTAAAATAAATACCTAGTTATCAGATGGTTCTTTAAGTTTATCTTAAATGCTACTGAATATTTTTCTGCATTCTTGAACAAGGCTTTTAAGGGATAGCTATAAAATAAATACAGCCACAGTGTCCCATGTTTACTATGCATTTCATTAATGTTTCACAAAGTAGGGGGCAAAAAGTTATGCTTACTTTTTTCTTCCTTTTCAGTTGAAGGGAAAGGAAGAGTCTGCCCATCTCACTAACCAACGCTTTCTCCCCATTCTAAAACTGCCCAAACAAAATTTTCTGGCAGCCTAGGATCTAGCAAACAAGTTTTAAGATAAAGGATGGTTATTAGAAATATCCTAGTTTACCTAAACTCTTTAAAAATTCAAGATCTTCATTTTTTTCCCTAGGACACAAATAAACGCAGTTTCACAAGCAGTCAATAATGTTATTTCTTCCAAATTAAAAGAGATCAATTGGTTGTTTATACTTGATTGGAAACAGCTGTTTCTTACTGCCTTCTTTTGTCACTGAACACTCTCTTCCTTCTTTTAAATCATCTTAACTATAATTTTGGGAGAAGATGCAATCATCTTAGCAACTTTATTTGTGGGGTAATAATATGCTGCTAGATATGAACAAAAATGTAAACCAGGAGGAGGCTGTGCATGCGTGGGTGCAGAGGGTGTATGGGAAATCTCTGTATCTCCTGATGAATTTTCCTGTGAACCTAAAACTGCTCTAAAAAAGTCAATTGTTTTTTAAAAACAACGAAAAAAATCCCGAAATCACGAAGAGTACAGTTTCATGATAAAGACTCAAGAACTGTGTATGAAAAAGCAATGAGGATAGCCTGACATGGTGACCATAAACCAGTGAAATTTGGGAACAGAAAGACTCAGAAATTACTGAAGTAGAAAAAAAGCAAAAAGAGATTAAGAGATTTGGAGGTATGGTGCAGAGGGAAACAAGTGTTCTTTGTGTGACTTTACATTAGTAGTTTTACAGTAGTGTAAAAAAACATCAAAAAGATGAAACAAAAAAACATTTTCTGTAGGGGGAATAAAGTCAATGTGAATGTCAAAGGCCCATGTTTAACAAGGACTGTTGCAAAAAAGACTACAAAGAGAGTCATGACTGATGCACTGATTCATAATAAGTCATTAGAACCATTATTAATACTAAAAAAGCTAAAGGAATTTAAAGTACATGATACCGACTGAATCAACCTAGAGGGTTAATGTAAATTTTATTTTTATTTTTTGAGACAGTTTCACTTTTGTTGCCCAGACTGAAGTGTAATGGTGCAATCTTGGCTCATTGCAACCTCTGCCTCCCGGTTTCAAGAGATTTTCCTGCCTCAGCTTCTCAAGTAGCTGAGACTACAGGTGCCCGCCACCATGTCTGGCTAATTTTTGTATGTTTAGTAGACACAAAGTTTCACTATGTTGGCCAGGCATTCTCGAACTCCTGACCTCGGGTGATCCACCCACATCTCAGCCTCCCAAAGTGCTAGGATTATAGGCGTGAGCCACCGTGCCTGGCCGGTTAATGTAAATTTTAAATGATAGATGGTCTGAGATGCTCCAATCTTACTTTGATATACAAAGATTAATGCAAATAAAAAAAATTGTGGGCTGGGTGCAGTGGTTCACAACTGTAATCCCAACACTTTAGGAGGCCGAGGTGGATCACTTGAGCCCAGGAATTTGAGACCAGCCGAGGCAACATAGTGAGACCCCATCTCTCCAAAAATAGCAAAAAAAAAAAAAAAAATCAGCCAGTCATGGTGATGTGCGCCTGTGTTCCCAGCTACTTGGGAGCTGAGGTGGGAGGATCACTTGACCACAGGAGGTAGAGGCTGCGGTGGGCCATAATCATGCACTGCACTCCAGCCTGGATGATGAAGTGAGACCTCTGGGTATGATAATACGCCTGTTCCTATACCCAAATGGAGGTGACATATAGCTGGGCTGGCGAATGACTGGGCCAGGCGAAGTGGCTCATTCCTGTCATTCCAGCACTTTGAGAGGCTGAGGCAGGTGGATTGCTTGAGCTTGGGAGTTGGAGACCAGCCTGGGAAACATGGTTAGATCCTGTCTCTACTAAAAATACAAAAATTACCTGGTGTGGGCCAGGTGCGGTGGCTCATACCTGTAATCCCAGCATTTTGGGAGGCCAAGGTGGGTGGATCACCTGAGGTCAGGAATTCGAGACCAGCCTGGCCAATGTGGTGAAACCCCTTCGCTACTAAAAACACAAAAATTAGCTGTAGTGGTGCACACCAGCAACCCCAGTTACTGAGGAGGCTGGGGCAGGAGAATCGCTTGAACCCAGGAGGGGGAGGTTGCAGTGAGGTGAGATCACACCACTGCACTCCAGCTTGCGCGTCAGAGTGAGACCCCATCTCAAAGAAAAAAAAAAAAAAAAAATCTGGTGTGGCGGCATGCACTTGTAGCCCCAGCCACTCAGGAGGCTGAGGTGGGAGGACTGCTTGAGCCTGGAAGGTGGAGGTTGCAGTGAGCTGAGATCGTGCCAGTGCACTCAGCCTGAGCAACAAAGTGAGACCCTGTCGCCAAAAAAAAAAAAAAAAAAAAAAAGAAAAAAGAAAAAAGAAAAAAAGAAAAAAGAAAAAGTTTTTTGCCTTTAGGCCAGTCTTACACATGTATGTTTCCTTTCCCTAACAGTATATCCAAACAGAGACCTTGGCAGTACATCTTCTAAGCCTTTGGGAAACTGAAGTAAAATCTGTAAATGATAAAACAAGAACACTCATCAAGTAAACCCAAAAGACACAGTTAAATACTGGGGGCTGTTGGTTACAACTCTTTCTATTAGTATCACTGTATAATTCAGATTTTTAAAAAAGCCCCAAAACTGTCTGACCAGATAATCATAAGAAAGTCTGATTATCACCACACCTCCCCTGATCAGTAAAGGGAATCTGAATTGTGTTATATTTTCAGTAAAAGACTTAAACCAAAAACCGTACTCAACATCATTAAAAACCCTTTGTTGTAGCCATTACTATTGTATACCCATTTAAAAAATGCACGGTTTAATGGTGAAACCCCATCTCTACTAAAAATACAAAAATTAGCTGGGCATGTTGGCACATGCCTATGATCCCAGCTACTTGGGAGGTTGAGGCACAAGAATCGTTTGAATCTGGGAAGCAGAGATTGCAGTGAGCTGAGACGGGGCCACTGCACTCCAGCCTGAGCAAAAGTGAGACTCTGTCTCCAAAAAAAAAAAAAAAAAAAAGAGAGAGAGAGAAATAAATAAAAAAAAAAAAAAAAAAAGGTACAGTTTCCAGATAAAAGTCAACTTATAAACCCAAGATGATAGTTGATATTTTTCCTAGAGCAATTTTTAAAAAATATACTAAAAGGAAAAGATGGAAAAGTTCCTTCAGATAACATCTTAATGAGTGAATAAATGATTGCTACACCAACACAGCTATTTTGGATAGCTGATAAATAACTTTAAGAAACATTAAGTCAGCCGGGCGCAGTGGCTCACACCTGTAATCCCAACACTTTGGGAGGCTGAGGTGGGCGGATCACCTGAGGTGAGGAGTTTAAGACCAGCCTGGCTAACACAGTGAAACCCAGTCTCCACTAAAAATACAAAAAAATTAGCCGGGCATGATGGCAGGCGCCTGTAATCCCAGCTATTTGGGAGGCTGAGGCAGGAGAATCTCTCGAACCCGGGAACCAGAGGTTGCAGTGAGTCGAGACC